TTAGGGGGAAACTCAGAGCAGTATCACTTGGAAGGTAGGAGAGTGTACCTGTTAAAGAGATGATTAAATGAGGAAGATGAAAAGTTTTACATGTAATCTAGAAAAGGTAATTTAAGCCTGAGTCTGCCAAATCTGTCTGTACATTTTCTTTTCTCATGATATGGTTATCTAATAAGCAGGGTTATTTTTCCCTCCAATTTAGAAGATAGACATACTTTATCATAGAAAATGTTAGGCTTATCATAAAGAAAATATTAGGCACACACACCAACCATAGTACAAACTTTTGATTACAATCTGTAGTGGTCTTTTGCATGGTCCATCACTACGTTTAATTATGAATTTGCTTTAGTCCCTTATAGTTGCTGATAATGAGCAAAGTTATTCCTTAAAGCTTAATCTACATATTTTTATCCAATGTGCTAGGTTTTATCTTTCTGATTGAACAATATTTCTTAAAGCATGTTTAATTTTTTTCTATTTAATATCACCTCAATGAAGATTAACATCAATGAATTCCTTGAACATCTATATTCATACTATGCATTTGTCCATGTGCTTGTAGAGTTTGAAAAGTCTATTTACACAATGGAAATTAAAGTTCATATGTGCATTGATCTGAGAATTTGAATGATAGAATAGAGTTATATCTAACATTTAGCATGGTATTTTTGTAGAGTACCTCAACAATTTTATGAAATGAACCATTTAATGGTGAATTCACATTTACAAATCAAAAGCTTTTTTTTAAAGTGTATGATCCTATGTGCTAAGGTAAATATTAGTGAAAAAAGAACTGTATTCCCCATGATTAAATTTAGCAGTCTGTTATATGAAATCAATGTAAATGTCTGGACTATGATAGAAAATAGATACAATTAAAAAAAAACTCAAATTGCAACACGTGTTGAGAGTTTTAAAAATCAAACTAATATAATCTCAAAAGATGTAATTATTGCAAATATTGTTTAGATCACATATGTCTAATTGTAATGAAAGTATTCTCTATATCATTAGTATTGGAGTTTTAATTCTGAAATCCTACATTTTATGTCCATATTTTGAAGAAAATGCATTTGAAAATTCTCATTAGAACATGCTACCCCTACACACACATTTGTACAAAGATATGTCTAAGGTCACAATTCTGGGTTAGCTAAGAAACTCAGACATGATATGTATCCACATTCTACCAAAAGTATTATAATATATTTAAATATTCTATGAAACAACAGATAGCTAGTAAACTGTTAAAATAGAACATTAAGATAAAATAAAATAGATAAAATGCATGAATGAAACTGAAGTATCAAGAGATAAAAGAAAGAAGGGAAAGAAGAAGTAGAAGGAAAAAAGAAGAGGAAGTAAGAATTGGAAAATCTATATTTTCAAATGTCAAATATAGAATTTATATTTAACATTGTATATTTAACATTAGGAATCTCTACAAAAAGGCTAAAAGATGAAAGCATAAATTAAATTTCATCCATTTTTTTCTTAATAAAATTAATCTTTAAATGCTCTATCTATTCTTTAAAAGCATTATATGCATATGTATTATAAGGAGAGAGCACCAGAAGTTAGATTGCAAGCAACTTGGGATTTCTAAGAATCATATTTATGCTTATGTTACAATCATTTTGCTCTCGTTAATTAGAGAAGATTTGGGGGATTCAATGCTATGAATTTTTTTCTGGATTTGCTTTATTTTGAGCCCCCCAAATTACCTAGCAAAAGTACTGCATCTTAAAAGCCAGGCTCTGTGCACATGCCTGTAATCCCAATGGCTGCGGAGGCTGAGAAAGGAGAATTGTGAATTCAAAGCCAGCCTCAGCAATGTGGAGGCACTAAAAATCTCAGTGAGACTCTGTCTGTAAATGAAATACAGGTTGAATGCCCCTGAGTTCAATTCCAGGTACTAAAATAACAACAAAAACAACAACAACAATAATAATAATTAGATATATATATATATATATATATATATATATATACTTCATCTTTGCTTTTAAAAATAAACATGTTCTTTGTTTGCAACAAACCTCATAATTGCCTCAAAAATTAAATATACATTTATTATCTTTACCATATAATTCTAATATACAAATACATAAAATAATTGTAATTTAAAAAGAAGTTTATAGAGTCTGGTAGCACTACAGAAGTCCAAAAAAATATGCACACTCAGAAAGCCACAATGCAATGAGTTTCATAATTTCTAAGTGTTACAGTCTAATATGTTTATGTAAATTATCCAAGTTAAAATCCTTATGTATATGTTGGTTTTGTAGCTTTTAAAATATTTTCCCTGAGTATATTTAATCAATATTTTAATTGGGGGCTGGGGATGTGGCTCAAGTGGTAGCATGCTTGCCTGGCATGTGTGCGGCCAGAGTTTGATCCTTAGCACCACATACAAAGATGTTGTGTCCGCTGAAAACTAAAAAAAAAATAAATAAATATTAAAATTCTCTCCCTCCCTCCCTCCCTCTCTCTCTCTCTCTTTAAAAAAAAATATTTTAGTCATCTTTGCAATGATCATTTGAAACTAAAATGCCACTATCTTTTTAGCATTACTTAAATTTTATTGTTACAACTGTTTTAAATATCTGAACAGTAATTAAATGCATGACTGCCTGTCAAATATCGTAGTATTTGACTTATATAGTAAATGACTACTTAAAGAGGCCCATTCTGACTTCTTTTCATTTCAAAGGTTGCAAGTGAAATTTACTTGGTACCTCTCTTAGCCTCCTATTTGCTCCTAGTCACCCCTCCTCTCTTCCAACCTAATTACCTTAAGATATTTTTTTCCACAGTCAGAGTAACCAGTAACTAAACACCAATTTATTTTTCTTAAGAGGAAAGATCTTAAGATTTTGAATTTTAATTGAATTTTCAATTGTAATATAGAAATTTGAGAAGTTTTTAAAATTCTAATATGGGTTCACAGAATGACAGATATATAGAGAACTGTAGAGTTAATTTGATATCATCCTCATATTCTACAAAATGATGGACGTGATGAAACAGTTAAAAAAAAATGCCCTTAGTCACATTGCCATTTAGGACAGAACAAAACCCAGATTCCCCTAGGGCAGGATACAATGAGAGCTCTCTATGCTTTATCTGCATTTATGCAAGTTTGTGCATGCTTCCACAAATAGTTTATTTCTTTAAATTTTTATTTCTTTTCCTCTCTTTCGTTCTTTTTAAAGATGGTCTGAAAGTGATCTCATTTCCCTTTCATGTTTGGAAGGTAGTTTCATGTTACAGTTTCATCCCCAAGGCTTTTGAATAATAGTATGACTGCTTTGATTGAACTCATTGCCCCAAACACCCTGATCACTGGAGAAAATGGAAAGATAGTGTCCACTAAACAAATGATAGAGATTTTGGCAGAATTTTTTTAATGAATGTGTAATATACCCTACATATCTCTACAGTATATTTTTAAGTTTTCTCTGACATTTTGGCATAATGAAAATGAACCAGATAAAAATACCATGTGTGCCATAGACTGCCTACTGAATCACTCAGTATGTGTGATGTGTGTGTGTGTGTGTGTGTGTGTAATGAGTAAGATAAAGATGCATGGCACTTGTCAATTATATATTAATATGAAATCAGTAGCTGTCAGAGGAAAATAAAGAATTGCAGATTACCCAGAATGTAAGAATTATGATCTAACATTATTAAAGTGACATTCCTAGGAATTTGTGTATTTGAGAAACAAATGGCAAGTTCTCAAATAAAACTGCAAAGAATGGGTTATGTAGGTGCAAAGCAGAAAAAAATGAAAGTTCCCTTAGAAGTAAAATTACTCCATTTTTTTCTCATTTAATAAAGATAAAGTAAGAATTTGGGGCTAAACGGCCAAAAAGTAAGTTGATTAAAGACCCTGAGTACACTAATGAGCAGGTACAGTGTGACATTATATTAGACTTCAGAAATATCATGACTCATATCAGTATGTGTGCCTTCTGATGGAAAACAATGTGTTAAATGCTGGTTTTTTTTCTTTTTTGAATAAGCAACTTTATTTTGAAAAATGCATTATCTAATTTAAGACAAATTAGACTTACATTTATATGCCCATTGCATTGTACAAGTAAGTCATGTTAGCTGTAGTTGAATTGTGTGGACGGTATGTGAATAATGACCCTTCTGGATGATTGATTGTTTCAGTTCACTAAAAGTGTTTGTTTACAAGTTTAAGCAGTCTGTGGAATCTGGCATGGCAGGCACCCTTTCTCTTGCTTGTCAAAGCTCTTAGAGCTTCACTGGGACAAGAAACATCACATATACTGAGAGAATTGCTAAAGGCTATGAAATGCTTCCAGCATATCCCATTTTTTCGTAGAACAATTGATATATTAGACATAATAAATATTGCATAACCTTCAGAATTTTGGCAGTGGAAGTTGAAGCTGGGAACTTTTTTTTTCCTCGTTATTAAAATGATTTTTTTATAACCCCGGAATCGCCAACTGTATACTGTTTGATAATATATATAAATCATAAAAATAAATAAGGACGGCTCTACGGGTTTTATAGAAGCGTATATGAAGTCTGATATGTACAAGGTAACATTCATGTTAATTTCTTTTTAAAATTCTCTTTTCAAACGGTGATAAACATTGCAAGTGTTCACGTCTTCTCCTTGGGTTCGGAAATGTTTTTTTTTCTCCACACAAGTTTCTGCAGCAGCTCCCCACAGCAGCTCCGTGAACCGAGAGCAGGAACCCAAATAAAGATCCTTTCCGCTAATCCAAGGTAGGAAGAAAAAGCAAAGTTTGACCAGGAAGATCAAAAAGGATCAGGGATTTGGAGAGGAACAGATTAAAGAATTCATACCAATTTTCAGTCTCCTCCCACCCGCCTTACCCCCTCCTCTTCCACCCTCTCCTCCACTGCCCTCTCTCTCCGTTCTGTCTTCCTGCTAGAGCTGTGCCAGCAGCGATCCTCGGAGTGCACAGAAACGGCGGTCCCAGGGAAGGCAAAGACTCAAGCGACGCGGAAAGCCTTTAGTTTCTGCTGGACAGATTGTGAATGAATCTTGAAGTCCAATGATGCCCATGCTGATTTTAAGCTTGGATTTTGTGGCCTTGATTGCCGCAGCTGACCCCAGCAGAAGCCCAGTCAAAGGGGCGGCCCCTCACCTCTCAGCGAGTTGATATGCAAAATAGTTACGTCAGAAGGTGGGGGCGGGGCTCCCCGGGCTTGAGTGGCAGCAGCTTTTGCCTGGGAGGAGGCGCGAGAATCAGCCTGGTTCAGTGACTGAGACAAACTGGAGGTGAGCGGAGCTGGTGCTGTCCACTGTGCTGTCGGTGCTGAACCTGGGACGCGACGCCAGCGGACCCGTTGCTCCAGCACCTGGAGGCAACGCCCTCTTGCACCCTCTGTGTCCTGTGGGACCTGCTTTACCAGCAGGACCCATATCAACTTGACAAAGGAGTGTATCGGACGTGGGAGAGAGTCCTCCGTTTTGCAACCAGGGCGCCCATTCAGGCGTGACTTTAGAGATTTCTATAGTTTTAGAACAAACTATTTTGGTTTTTTCCAAGCTAAGACGATCTTTTTAATCTTTTTTTTTTTTTTAAACTGTGATTCACACATCCACATCCTTTAGGAATCTTTCTGGGGGACTTTTTTATTACTTAAAATAAGGTAAGAAAAGAATATTGCTATAAATGTTTACAAGTGGGTTAGAAATGCAGATTGTTATAATATTAAAAATAAGTTATGCTTATTTTTATAGTTTACATTAGGACTTTGGAAATGATTGCAAAATATATTTAATAATGCTATTTTCATTATTATTAGGAGAGCATCCGTTGATGGTTATGTATCAAATTCTAGAGGGGAAGTTGAGAGCTTTGCTTTCTGTGAAGTTCTTATCATCATGTTATATCTTTCTTTATGAATGCAAATATTTTAGAGCAACACTCCCAGTGTGGCTCAAAGGACAGAAAACATTTAATGCAAGTTCCCCAAAATGTAAGCAAATGACATTAAATCCACTAACAATTTGTTCAATTTGAATGCACTGATATCTGTTTAATAAATATTACTTCCCGTATTTGAAGCTGGAACTGCAAAGTACAGAGCTCTCTTCAGATTTTTCTTGGAGGGGAGGAGGTAGAGATAAGAACATTTATACTACTGCTGGGTTCATTTAGATGTGTTGTTATGCAGTAGATCCAAATAAAACTTGCGAAACAGTCTGTGAAAATTCAACACCCAAGGTCATGTGTATTTTCAAGTTGGGGGCTGTTTTTTTCTGCTATTGACTAGTAAATGTCATCCCCTCCCTACCCCCTCAGGTTAGAGGTGGATGTAAATGGGAAGCTCTGATTTAATAATACAGTATTAGCTTGTATTATAGTCTCTACTGCTGTTGGTAATTGAATGGAACTGGGAAGCATGGGTTGAGAAAATGTCTTGCTATTTCAGCAATGTTTAACCTCTTGGATGCTTAACAGAGAGCTTTTCTCTACTTAAGAGATTTTTCTTTTGAAGCTATGTTGCTTTTGTCAATGGGCAGTATGTTCTGAATGTGTATGGAGAAAGAATTCAGTGTGAATAACCACTTAACAGTATTTCTCATAGTGAGAAATTATTAAATGATAGAAGTTATCTTATTCCTTGTGTTTGTTATTATAATTCATGACTTAATTTAACAGGCATAATAAACAGAATTCTGATCTTTCATTTAGGTCATTCCATGGCATTAGATTAATTGATGGCTGGAAAAACATGAGGATTGTGTGACTATACAGTCCATGGATAGAGTTCAGGTTGCAATTAGATGTCCTATATTAATAGGAATGGGTTAAATATCACTCTGTTCCATGTTTAAGTGTCTCTAAACTATGTTTTTCAGCAACTAGAGAATAGAGTAAGTTTAAATATTTTTGTATTTTAAATAGCATAAAAATTTTATTCTACTTACATAGAGTTACTAGAATGGACTCTAATTTTAGTGTTTTTTATTTTCAATAATTATCTCTTTGGGTAGATTTTTAAAATTTTATTTATAACACAGTCCTACATGACAGAGATTGCTATAAGAAATGGATAGTGTTGTAAACACTAGTGGTCAAGGGTAATTTCTAAGAAAAGGATAGTGTTGTAAACACTAGTGGTCAAGGGTAATTTTCTAAGTTGTTCCCATGTTTTACCCTAAACTAATACTCTTTGTGGGATTCATGTTGGTCATGTGATCTGTGTTTAAGTATTAATACAAATTATTAACGTTCATCAAGAGAGAATAAATAAATAAATAATAAAAGAGAGGAGGCTTATAAAGCATTCAGCTACAGAGTTCATATCAAGCAATCTCCTGTAAGTATATATAGAATCATTCCGTACTACTCTTCATTTTTAACTTTTCTTATAAAACATTATAGTGAAATAAATATTCAGAGTGTAGGATTTTGAACAGAACTATTGGTTTTTTAATTTAATTTTATTTATCTTGAATATTAATGTCATCTTAATTTTATAACTTACTTGTAAAGCAGTAACATATGTCCACATTATGTTGTTTTAAATGTACATTGTCTTCTGTTTGTACAAAGTTTTTCAAGATATATGCATAAACTGTTACCTTGAACTATCAGTATCTGAGATTTGTTCACATGAAATTTAATGCGACAATGAAACATTAAAACATCTGAATGTTTTAATTAAACCATTAACATTAAAAACAAAATATGATATTGACAACAATAATGCTATACATTGATTCAATGACATTGAAGAACTATAACATTACATACATTTTTTTTTCTGATTTTCCTACACATTTAGCTTTGTATATTTTTGCAGTAGATAAAATTTAGTTCCCATAATAAGCCAAATTACTATGTAAGAACATTATTTAGATAGAGAATAAAGTGCCAACTCTATACTATTAAATTACAAACTTTGAAACATTTATTGAAGATAGTCAAATGTAGTAATTCCTTAATTATTTCAGAAAATGACCAAATTTTGAATACATAACTTCTTAATGTAAAATAAGAATGAATATTTACTAACACAATACTGGGTAGCTTGTTGAAACATTAGTTTAGTCCAGTGACTCTATAAATGTAGCGCTGTTTGCTTCAAAATGATGAACTTTGACAAAGTGTGGTTAGAAAATTATCGATATAGTTTAATTATATGTCAAATGACATACTCAAGTTGTTTTTTGTAGTTGTTTCTCAGTTTCTTAAATAAGCACATCAATCAAACCAAAAATTTTAAACTCAAAAATGAAATTACTGAGTAGATTTATATTTTTTCCTTACAAATAAGATAAATTCTTACATATGTTTTATAAATTTAAGATAATGATAAATAAATTTAGGTTTTCTGTTTTCAAGGCTATGTTTTGCTTTATCTTTTTCTGTTTACTAACATGGCCAATGGAAAAATGCAACAAGTAATAATAAATAAAAATACTCTAAAAAGTTTATAAGATATTTTGAAGAAATTTTGAAGTGATATATATGAGATAGTGACTATAGTTTATTGAGAATTTTCTTTGAATAATGGATATTTATTATGTTTAAGTTATATTTACCAAGGAGACCCAAAGGCCTTAAATGATATATCCTATCAATCTTTAATTTCTTTGCCCAATTGCTGTAATAACTCTAGTACTTTTTGTTATTCAATATATTGTAAAGCTCAAAAGACTATTGAACTAATAGGATTGGAAAACATTTCCTGTTGTTAGCATCATTTTAACAGCCAGGTGACCAATTACCCTTTATCAAACAGACTTAATCACCTTCTGCTTCAATGCTTCCAATACCCTTTGGGTGTAGTCTACTTAAGGTGAGCTTTAAAATCCCTTGTGGAAATACCTCAGTGTTCCAATTAAATTGCTAACACACAACCAAGCAATTGGTCCCTTTGTGCTTTAAATCCCATTAGTATTGAGGAATTAATATTATTACAATGGATACACAATGTTTTGGTAAACTCAGTGTTCCAATGAGGTTTAATGTATATTTTCTAAAAGAGGAAGAATTAAATATTATCAATAGTCAATGAGAAACTGTGTGTGTGTCTATGTGTATATGCATTTTGGGTAGATTTTTACAGCTTTGGGAATGATCTAGAACATACAAGTTCAAGAAATGTTATATAAGCCATAATACAAAATAATTTTTAGTGGCAAACATGTCTTCTAATTATTGTTTTTTTTTAAATTTAGATTAGTATGCTTAATGAGATATCAGTTTGTTTGGTTTTGCATAAAAGTGCCATTGAGAAGCTATCAAACTCAGTGGCAAGGGAAGGGATTGTGGAAATGAAAATTTGCAGGAAAAAGAAAATAAAGTGTATGTGTGCACAATAAAAAGTGTAGAGTACCATGTAAATACTGAGGAAAATATGAGTTTCAATAAAGGATTTGAAGATTTTTGCCTATAAAAGAAAGACCTGTAAAAGAGATGGGGTGGTTCCTACGTATCTTCTGGTAATAATCCATACATTTCTCAGGAACAGAGCCTGGATATGTCCTACACATAAAATGTTTTTATTCCTTCTATATCAATGTTTTGATACATAGATGTAAAACACGGGAAGAAAAGCAACTTAACATTGAACTTTCTTCCTTTAAAACCAAGTAATTAATATTACTTTAATGTGGCTTTTGGTATCATATTATGTAAATCTCTAAAGCAAAGTGGTTGCTTAGTGAGTTCATTTGCATGTCAATACACAGAATATTATTCTCATTCCTAACCAGTTCACAGCACTGTTTGCAATTCTAAATCCAATGCAAAAGATTTAGAAATACTTTTTTTATTCAGTTTTATTTAAATCTATTCATCATAATTGACCATTAAAAGAAACTATCTTTAGCATTATATTTCCTTTGTGAAGTAGCAGCAAGTTACCAATTAAAATATATACATCTGAATGATGGTCCCCAAAGATAATGATGAAATGGAAATATTTATCTTTCATCATTGGACCACTTATTCAAAACTTGACCACTGAGTCACAACCCCAGCCCTCCTCCCCCATTCTCTCTCTCTTGCTTTAGAAATATGGTCTCTCTAATTTGCTTAGACTTTGCTAAATTGTTGAGACTGGCTTTGAACTCACAATCCTCCTGCCTCAGCCTCAGGAGCTGCTTGGATTACAGGCTTGCTCTATTGCACCTGGCTAGATAGTGTTTTAATGACAATAATGATTTTATTTTTTATAAGTTCCTTAAGCCATAAAAGTAAAGGTCCTTACATACTTGAAGAAACAAGTTCCTATGTGTCCTCTGTGATTATATGTCTATTTTTCTCAAATCCTCAGAAATTAACAGATTCCTTGATGTAGTCAGCCTGAGCTGCCTTGTTCAGGAATAAGGAGGATAGAGCCTTTCATATTTCTAAAGACAAGGGTCATCGAGTTGCTACCAGTGAAATATATACTACATAATACCAGAAAACCTACTCATATTTGAATATTTGATCTTTTAGTCTGGATTTGCTTGTTCATCTGTGAATAGAAAGCAGACAGAAATAGAAAACATTCTAAGTATTAATAGTATACGGAATATATTTTACTCATGTTAGGTCATTTTATTCATATTAAGACATTTAACATTTACAGAACTGTGTAAAGTTGGTATTCATTGTAGATTTAAGAAACCAGAGCTCATATCAAAC